TCCTTGTTTTTTTTCTATTATTGTAATTTTGTATTTATTGGGACGAGTATAAGATTCTACCTTATCAATAATTATTATTTTAATAGTAAATTATATTCTCGTGGAAAATGGTTCATGTATGCTGACCAAATAAAGTGCTCTACGTGAACTTAGATGACGTGGCAATTTAAAGATAATTATATCACTATTTTAATTCTGAACTTAGATGATGTGGCAATTTAAAGATAATTATATCACTATTTTAATTCTAATCTAAAGTGAAAGTTTGATATGCTCGATCGCACCTAATTCGTTTATACTAGATTAAATATGGATATCTTTCGAAGATCGAGATAACTATAAGCCAACCCAGATGAGTCATATATATATATATATATTTTTTGTTATATTTTAAAAAAATACACATTTTAGTATTATTTATATAATTTAGAATAGATATTATAGTCATTAGTTAATAAAAAATTAAAGAGCTATTTTTCTTAATTCCTAAAATAAGTGATATCGGCTAAAAATAGTAAAATGTGGTTGGAAAAACAGCCAGTTTTTATTTTATTTTATTTTATTTATTATTATTTTAATGAAGTTTTATTTATGATCTTCCGCAACAGTAAAGCGGGAGTGAGTTTGTGATAGGTCACAGCAAATTCACAGGAGGAAGGAGGAGACCTTCAACTTGAAATCAATGGCAGTTCCTTCCAATTTCACCTCTCCTCCTCTAACTTCTCATCGCACTCTTTCCTTCTTCTTCAAAGCTTCTGTTTTATCCCTTCCTTTTTACAACGCCTGCGCTTCCAAATCCATTTCCATCTCAACAAAACACAATGGATCCACGAGGATCAGACCTATGTCGATTAGAGCTGTCTCCTCCTCTTCTTCTTCTTCTTCTTCTTCCTTTGGTTCTAGACTCGAGGAGAGTGTCAAAACTACAATTACTCAGAATCCTGTTGTTGTTTACTCCAAGACATGGTGTTCGTGAGTTCAAATCTCATCCATCTCATCTTTATATTTGTAATGCTTTTTTTCGATTTCCTTCGTGTTCTCTTTCCTTTTCCAGATTTGGGTTTCTTGAGTTTATCGGAAATATTTTGAAGCCGGATCGTTCGTTGGTAATCTCTTTTTTGAAGGTATTCTTCTGAGGTTAAGGCGTTGTTCAAGAGGCTTGGAGCGCAGCCATTGGTCATTGAATTGGATGAATTAGGTACTTTTTCTTCTATTCTTATTACACTTGCTGGTAGATTTGCTCGAGGGGATCTGAGTACTGAAATCACTTTTTATTTTTCCCTCTATGACGATAACTGCCATTCCTGTCATATGTTCTTACTATTAACTTAAATTTTTGGATTAAGTTGTAAGTTAATTGTTGAGGATGGTTGGGAGAGGAGTCCCACGTTGGCTAACCAAATGGAAGATCATGGGTTAGTAAGGAATACTATCTTCATTGGTACGAGATTCGTGGTTCCTAACATGGTATCATATCATGCCCTTAACTTAGACATGTCAATAGAATCCTCAAGTTTCGAACAAAGAAGTTGTGAGCCTCGAAAGTATAGTCAAAAGTGACTCAAGTATTGAACAAAGGGTGTACTTTGTTCGAGGGCTCCGTTTATGCATCTGTTAGTTTGTATGTTACTTTCTTCTGAATTGATGATGTTAATAGTTCATGTGTTAGTTTGTATGAATCAAATTGATATCCTTTAGCTATTTGCTTTGATTTAAGCCATCGTGAGTTTTTCCTTGCATTTAATGTCTTCTTGAATCCGTTTATGCATCTTGTAAGCTGACAAGCTTTTTCCCTTCAGGTCCCCAAGGGCCACAACTGCAAAAGGTACTTGAGAGGCTTACAGGACAACATACGGTACCAAATGTTTTCATCGGTTAGTATTGCTTAATCACAATTATCAATCTTATGTATGTTGAAAATATTATCATTTTATGTTTACGTGGTTCTCTGTTTTAGTTATGAAACTTGGTGCTTTCAAATTTTCATCGATTAACATTTGATACGTACAAAAACATTGCTTCTAATAGTGATTTTGTGTCTAATCTTCATTGAATACCTTTACTTATGATCCCGAACGTACCCCTTGGTTCGATATAACCATCTAGAAATAATAATGGTTGTCTATATGCTGAGAACCGAAGCATATATAGGGGTTTAGTTTTGGATTTTCGGTCTCAGTAAATAAGTAGAGCACGACGTGTTAGACCCTCGATCTGGGGACACGTGACTTGGCTCTATGTGTCTTACATGAGTCAAGATCTGATCATGTATGGGGTGGCACACTCAAAAGGATGGGTCCAAGGAAGGTGCCAACATTTACACGTAGTAGGTGGTTGTCGCTTTGACAATTGCATGAATGGATGCTGCTTGTTAATAGACAAAGACACTTTAGTTCGAGTATTGTGTCTATGTCCATATCCATGCTTCTTAGTTTGTGTATACATACTTTGTTCTCGGACTGGAAGCAAGTGATTTTATATATGAAGTTCGAAAATGGGATAGGAAGATCCTTTTTCCAACCCTTACTCATATTTTTTCGTGTTTATGAATGGATTGCTCATACAATACACAAGCATGCTTACTAATAGGGGAAGCGCCTCAGCTTCGCATCATCCCTGCTATATATTTGTGAAGAACCTCAATGAACTAACTACTCACTGCTCGAGCTTACGTTAGTCGTAGAAACCGCTCACTACTATGTGCTAAGTTTCTTCCTTCCCTCCATGTCTTTCTTGTTTTAGGAGACGCTGGAGGTTTTTTGACCCACCACTGATTTAAACCACAAAACTCTAGCTTTGCCTCTAGAAAAGTTCCATGGATGAGTTGAAAATGCCTCGGAGCACCTCTTAGCGAACACCAAGTCTCTTTGTTTTAAATAGGTTGTCCTGTATCAGCCGATCAATCAACAAAGATTTGAACAATGACTGACTCGTTTTTTAGCCTATGAAAGGAAATTTCATTAGAACATATAACAAATGCATGTACTATCCACGTAGATAGAAAACCCTCCCCCCCCCAAATCATATTTTTGAGTCATAGTAAGGAAGCCGGTTTGGAAGTTCATAAAATATATGAATTATGAGCACCCCCCCCCCCCCCCCCC